AAAAACCCCAAGTGATCCACCCATTTGGGCAAAAACACTTATTATATATTATATTAGAATATTTTCAGACCTGCTGCTTCTCTGTCCTGTGTGACTTTCTGCCCCAGGACACCTTCCTTGGAGCAAAGGATGTCTCCAAGGAAAAGGGGGGCAGGGGGAGGGCCCTGGGGCTCAGGGGGTGCCTGAGAAGAAGCACACCACATCATCTCAGGGCTTCCTGGCTGAGGACTTCCTGCTGTGTGTCTGGGGAGACACAGGGGTAGACCACATGTGGTAAACACAGATGCTTGTGGAGTTGGTGGTAGGATTGAGTTCAGTTTGGGGGTAATATTTGTCTCTTGTTTTTCTGAAGACTTGCAGAACATTCTTGACTTCCTGACGTGTTATTTGGGACAGATGCAAAGAGTCATCTTGCCAGGAGAGCTTGGGTAGGGTAAAGGGGCAGTTCTGTTACCTGCTGTGTTATTATCAGCTGTCATAGAACCCAGTTGTAGGATTTTAGGATTAGAAATTAGAATTGAGGCTGGAAAAGACTTCGAAGATCAAGTCCAACCATCAACCCAACACTCCCATGGCCACTAAACCATGTCCCCAAGTGCCATGTCCACGTGATTTTTGACTCCCTCCAGGGCTGGGGACTCCAGCACCTCCCTGGGCAGCCTGGGCCACTCCTCCCCACTCTGCCAGCAGAGAAATTCCACCTAATATCCAAATGAAACCTCTCCTGGGGCAACTTCAGCCCATTGCCTCTTGTTCTACTGCTAATTACTTGGGAGAAACCCCCTTGGTTTCATTAGAGTGAAGGTTTTGCTGTGATCCCCCACTCCAGCCCTGAGGATGGGACCTCTCTGCAGTGTTTCACTGGGGTGGTTCTTCTAGCGCACGCTGATTTTCCTGGCCCCAATTTTGACTGCAGCACAGTAATGTTTTCATGCCAAATGAATAGATACCCACTGTTTTGTGTTTGCCTCTTAATTACATCACCTCCCCAGTAATTAAATTTAGCTGCTCACCACCAGTGCTGAGACCAGGTGAGCACCAACTGTGGTCAACAGTAGCGGCCACTGTTACTTAAAATGTGGGGGTTTTTTTAACCTCCAACAGTTTTGGTTCCTGATTTGGTTCTGAAATCTATTAGTACTTATCCTCTGTATCACCTCCCTTTGTAGCTTACTCACAGGAGTAACTTCAATGAGTCTCCACATTGTGAAGCAGTAGGAACAACACAGATACTACAACTGTGGAGAAGCTCCTCCGAGACTGTATCACCTCCCTTTGTAGCTTACTCCCAGGAGTAACTTCAATGAGTCTCCACGTTGTGAAGCAGTAGGAACAACACAGATGCTACAACTGTGGAGAAGCTCCTCTGAGGGGCTGCATGATGCCTGTGGACCAGCAAGGTGGTTTCTGTTGGGTCTTGGAGCCAGCTGCACCTCTGAGGAATAGGTCTTGTGTTCTAAAATTAAATAAATCTATAAAAAAAGCATCATTCCTTGAACTCCTGTGGCAGCACGTGGCCCTGCAGCCAGCACTGTGCAGGTTTATTCTCCTTTGGCTTCGTCAAGAGCCTTGTCGGGTCGCTGGGAACTTGCTGAGGAGGTTTGTAGCCTCCTGTGGGGTGTGTGTTGACCTCAATTCTCACTGAATGTTGCAGAGGACTGAGGACACTGGGGCTCTGCTCAAGCTGAAGCTCTAGTTTTTGGGGAATGCTGTGTGGAAGAGATCCCTCAGCCAGTGTCCAGCTTTCTGTCAGGACACGTGAACGTGCAGGATGGGACGAGTGCAGCCAGGAGTTAACTTTTGAGGCTTTGGTTCTTGGTGATGTAGTTTGTTACAAAAATGAAACAGAGAGCCCCAAAAGCAGCTCAGAAAGGCAGATCCACTGTCCTGTCCCTCTCCTCCAGGTCTGCAGCTCCTCCCAGCCTGCGTGCTTCTGATTCTGCCACAGTGTCAACGTCACACAGCATCCACGTGGAGCAGACAGGTTTCCTTGGCTGTATTTCCAGCTGCAAGTGGGATTTGTTCCTGCAGGAACACCTAGAGGGGCTGCAGGGTTTCTGCACAGCAGGCCTTCTGTGCAGCAGGATTTTGCTGCTCTCCCCAACCTTGCAGAGACAAGGATGTGACAACGTGAGCTCAGTGTGAAAACCAGCGTGTAGGAGAGGGTCATGCTGTGCTTTCCAGGGCCATGCTTGTCCATTTTCCAGTAAAAAAACCAGCCAAACAACAGTGAGCAACCTTGGCTGGTACAATATTGCTGTCTCAGACCTCCCTCGTGCTGTGTGTGTGCTCACACCCTTGGATGTCTGCTGGAAAGTTGGCAGCTGAGGTGCTGAGCAGCACTGGAGCAGCCTGTGGTGCAGCTCGTTGGTCTGCTGCAGCATCAGGAGAGGATCTTCTGGATCTTTGGGGTCTCTCCATACTGTGTCTTGCAGGAGCATCCAGGACTTTGTAGGGAAGCTTGGAGGTGCAAAGTGGGATTCAAAGGAGGAGGGACAGGCAGAGGGGAGGATGGGATGGGGCAGGGGTGATCTTTTCCTCCCTGAAATATATCCTGCTGTCCTAGGTCTGATACTATTCAAAATAATTGGCTCAGGGACCACTACTTGGTCGTTTGGGAGCACTGTGGGTTTTCTAGGGGAGCTTCCCTCCCAGGGGCAGAGGCTGTGTGTGCAGGAGCCCAGCTGCCAGGGCTTTCCTCCTCCTCCTCAGTGGTGGGCAGGCTGTGCTGAGCACAGAGCTGGCCCTGTGTGCTCCCTGTCTGCTTCCTCCTGCAGAGAGACCCCCTCAAAACGCCCCTAGCTACTTCAGGAGGAGGAGGAGGAGGCCAACAAGCAGCACTGAGCCCTTGTCTTGCTTAATGGCTGAGGCAGAGGCTTTTCCCTGAGTGCTTTCAGAAATGCTTTCTGGCTTCTGATGGACTCTGCAGCGCCCTAAATCTTTTCAGAGGAGGCTACTGTGTCCTGGGGCTGATTGGGGCTGGGAGTGGATGGATGCTTGGATTGCCCAGGGGGTGTTGGGAGTTACAGCTGCCTGGAGAGCAATCCAGATGACCCCATGGAAGGCTTCCACCCTCCCCTTCCCACAACTAAAGGTTGATGTTTCCTTCTGCCCTTTTCTTCAGCGAGGAAGCTGGAGCTGGTGGTGGCTGTAGTGTCCAGGGAGGGGGCTGCATGTGAGCTGTGCCTCCCTAAGCAGGGAGACACCATCCTTGGGAATATTTGGAATGTTGTGTTACCCTTCCCACCTCAGCACATCTCTTTGGGCAGTCCTGAGGGTCAGAGAAAGATGATTGTAACAGAATTCCTGCTTTTTCTGCTTTACCCTTTTTCCCCCTTGTGTTTTCAGGCTTGCTTCAAACCTCAGTGTTATTATCAAAGCTGAATTATACTAATTGATGAGAGAGGAAAATGAATGAGGGAGAAAATAATAAATTGCAAGAAAAATGAATTAATAAAAGCCCAAAGTGAAAAGGCTGTGAAATAAGAACCAAGACTTCTGTTGCCTTCAATAATACAATTGTCATAGAAGCACAGAATGGCTTGAGTTAGAAGGGACCTTAAAAATCATCTAATTCTAACCCCTCAGTCTCTCACCTTCTTCACAGTGAAGAAATCCCTAATTTCTAATCAGAATCTCCCCTCTTCCAGTCTGAAACCATTACTCCTCATTCTATCCCTGCAAGCCCTTGGAAAAAGTCACTCCCCAGATTTCCTGGTGAGTCCCCACCCCTGGAGGGGTTCCCAAGCTGTGGAGATGTGGTGTGAGGGACATGGGGCAGTGGGGACCCGGCAGGGATGGGGGAACACTTGGACTGGATGCTTTTAAAGGTCTCTTCCAAGCCAACCAGTTCTGTGATCCTGTAATCCTGCCCCCAGGATGGGCAGAGAGGGTTAACTGGCAGCTGCTGAGCAGCCCGAGGGGAGGAGGGGAGGAGGGGAGGCATCTTCCCAGCCCAGTGAGGTGGCTCCTGGTCCCTGCTCCATCCTGGAGGAAGCAGAAGGGAGAACAGCATGTGTAGCTTCCGAGCTGGGGAAAGCTTGTGCTGGTGCCAGCAGCAGCTGCCAGTTCTCAGCCTGTTGAGAATATGCTCAGCAGTGGGGCAGTGCCAGGAGTCCTCTCATGGCTTTGGACTGCCATCCGTGTCTAAGATCAGTGTCTAAGAACATGGTAGTTGACCTGAGGGCAGGACTGGGACTCCAGGAGGGGCAATTCTATCCAAGCTTCATGATCCCCTCATCATGGTTGGTGGGATCTATCCCTCCACAGCCTGGACTCAAACAGGGTTCAAGTGTTATAAAGGTTTCTGGGCCGTGCCCTCCACTGAGCCCTATCAATCAAGAAACATTTCAGAAGCATTTTATGAAGCTGAGTGGGAAAGGGCTTTCTCTTTCTGACACGTGTTTTCTTAGCTTCCCAAATTTCCTTTCAGGGCTCAGCAGATTCATACACAAGCAGACCCTCAGACTCTGATGTCTCTCTGGAAGAAGACAGGGAAGCAATCCGCCAGGAGCGAGAGCAGCAAGCAGCCATACAGCTGGAGAGGGCAAAGGTGTGTTCTTTACAGCTGAGTTATGTGGCATTTCTCTGCTGCCTGGTCTTGAAATTACTGCTGCTGGTTTAGAGGGAGGACACAATCCTTGGAAATAATTTGGCAACTGAGTGAAGTTGCTGGGGACAAGATGTTTGGGGGGATACGGTGCAAATATTCTCCTATAAATGGGGATCTTCTCCAGTGAGCTGAGCTCTGCTGGCCTGGGTGAAACTATTGGGGCTGAATTATTATATATCTGGCAAATATCCTCTGCTAGGGTTTTGTTATTTGGCACATGAGAAAAATTTCCCCTGTCTGTGATGTGTGTTTCTGTTTGTAGTCCAAGCCAGTAGCATTTGCTGTTAAGACGAACGTGAGTTACTGTGGAGCTCTGGATGAAGATGTTCCTGTCCCAAGCACTGCCATCTCTTTTGATGCCAAGGACTTCCTACACATTAAAGAGGTAAAACAAAGCAGCAGGAAAAGGGAAGGTGAAGGGGAAACTTTTTACATGCCAAGGACTAGGATTTGAACAGTGGGGCTTGAGCCATACTGGAGAGCCAGGAGCTGTGTGGAGGCAGGAGAGCACAGCACACCCCTCTGATCAGTGATGTGGTGATGCTCCACATTTTTTAGGGTTCCAGCACCCTGGGGTGGTTATTTTGCCCTTTCCTAACACCTGGTTTTAATGCCATAACATCTTGCTGCATTTCAAGTCCCCTTCAACGTGGTAGATGCAGATTCTTTTCATCAAATGTAGTTTGTGATGGATCAGAGATAATGGATCAGAGATTCTGTTGAGCAGGAAGTGGAGTAGCACCAGGTTACAGCAGGTCTTCAGGAAACACCAGGTAGGCTTGTCAGGGAGGAAATGACTCAGGTCAGAGAGTACAGTAAGAAAAGAAAATATTGAATGAGAAAACACAGAAATACAAGAAGAAAAGAAAATAGTGAAGAGGACAGATACTAAAATAAGGAAAAAGATGTGAATAAATGGGCCCCAAGGATGGCTTAGGTAGAGAAAAAGACATTTTAGTGCATGTTGAGCATATTTTCTGCAGTTCTGCTTCTGAAGAGCCTCCCAAATTTGCATAACCCCCGTTGGTTTGTGGATTGGTGCACGGGCTTGCAGCTTGCAGCAGCATTTTATCATCTCAGCATTGTGGGTTTATTTTAGGGTGTTCAGCACTCGTTTGCCTCTTCCCTGGAACATGTGTCTCTTGTGGCTGCAGATCTGATCTGCCTTGGAGAGGGCACGGGCAGGAGAACACCCCACTTGTGCACCTCTGGAGACTGGGGTAGACAGGGGGGTCTGCCTTCAGTTCCTTCTCCCTGAGGAGGACACAGGAGGGGCAGCTGATGCCTTTGCTCCATTGTCTCAATTTGCTGCAAACTAATGGAAGTTTCAGTTGAGTTTTTTTGGTTGGTTTCCTTTGTGTGTCTTCTGCTTTTAATATTTGTATGACAGAGTGCTTAAAGCCCTGCTGAAGAGGCTGAGCACTGGATCTCAATCTGCCTGTCTCTGCATGCAGAGCTGGTTGCCCCTCCTCTTCCTTCCCCAAGAACATGTTCTGATCTGTCCAGCACCACCCTTGAAGTCCCCTGATGGATGCTGCCCTCTCAGCCTGCTTCCCCCCAGGAAGGGCCCTTTGCTGGCACTGGTTGGAGGGGACCTCTGGAGATCATCTCATCAAACCCCCCTGCTCCAGCAGCTCACCCACAGCAGGGTGCCCAGGGTCACATCCAGGGGGGTTTGGGATCTCTCCAGAGCAGGAGACTCCACAGCCTCTCTGGGCAGCTGCTCCAGGCTCAGCCACCCTCACCCCAAAGAAGTTTCTCCTCCTGCTCAGGTGGCACCTCCTGGGTTCCAGTTGGTGCCCGTTGCCCCTTGTCCTGTCCCTGGGCACCACTGAGCAGAGTCTGGCCCCAGCCTCTTGCCCCCCAGGGCCCTTTAGCTCTTGCTCAGCACTGCTCAGATCCCCTCTGAGGCTTCTCCTCTCCAGCTCAGCAGCCCCAGGGCTCTCAGCCCGGCCTGGCCCAGAGATGCTCCAGCCCCTCAGCATCTCCGTAGCCTCTGCTGGATTCTTTCCAGTAGTTTCTTCTCCCTCTTGAACTGGAGAGCCCAGAACTAGACACAATACTCCAGATGTGGCCTGAGTAGGGCAGAGTAGAGGGGGAGGAGAACCTCCCTCAACTTACTGGCCCCACTCTTCATCATGCAGCCCAGGAGACCCTTGGCCTTCTTGGCCACGAGGGCTCATTGCTGGCTCACAGTGAACTTGCTGTCCATGTCTTGGCATCCTCAGAGTTTTATCAAGATCTAAAGGGCCAGGATCACGTTGCCACTGAACTGTAAGCCACGTGGCTTGCTGGTATTTGGCAGTTCTGAAGCTTTCCCATAGTTCCATGGTTAATGCTGGAAGCTTCACCTTGCCCATAGCTGTGGCTGTACCTTGGTAGGGTTTCAGGAGTGGTTCCCCATGCTGGAGTCTGGCTGCATGGAAGAAAGCTTTGCAGAACTTGTTTTCCAATGATCTGTCAGGCTTGCTTGGACCTGTACAAGCATGATTCCAGATTTTGGAATCATGCTAGAGTAGGTAAGCAGTCAGGTCACCCTGCTGACAGGCTGAGAGAGCAGCAGTTAGTGAGGAGTTGCTGTGTTGAGGACGTGTCCTGCATGTCTCATCTGTCTCCTACAAGACTATACATTACCTGCTGACTTAAAAAAGATGAAGTGGCAGCAATTAGTGGCAATGCAGAAGAAATCACAGGCATGGCAACCAAGAGGAATAAACTGTGGTCCTCCCACGTGCTGAGTGTGAGAAATAACATATGGGAGGTAATGACCTAATGCAGATAGCCCCACGTTCCTCACTGCAGTGTTCTCCTTTGGGTTGTTCAGATGTTCTCAGCAAAATGCTGGTTCTGATCTCATGTCTAGGGGTATCACTCAGAGGTCCATAACCTGCTGCTGGAACCAAGATTCCCATGCTCAAGCCAGACATTTAGAATCAAAACAGAATGAGTAATGCTCATGGGACTCAGGTTTTACAGGAGGTTCCATGTCTTGATTGGTTTTACTCATTTACCACAGCAGAATGCTAGATCCTGAAATATTTATCTATTCTAAAGAGTGTTGACTTAAAACAGAAGCAACTTAATGGAAACTAAGCTTTGCTTCCTGGTGTCTGCATCACATCAGAACAGCATGAAGAAGAGAGACTGTAAAAGAATCAAATCATGGCACCTCCACAGCTCTGCAAAGGGGACAGGATTTCAGGGTGAGGGTATAAGGACTGCATTTCCCTTAGCTGTGTGTTAATAGTTGTGTGTCTGTGTGGGGGTTTTCAAAGATGTTGAGATACTTGGTTCAGAGTCCTCAGGTAGCCACCGTTGTACCTTTGGCAACTAGGACATTTCTGCAAGAAATTGGGTGCTGGAGAATGTGGAGCCACGAGGACTGGTCATTTTTAAGACAAGATTTCTGTGATAACTTTTTCCTCGAGGCATTTCAACAAAACTGAGACACTCATGCTGGTCTTAATGACTTGCAAGTGGGTTGTGGAAAGTGATGTTTCTTTTGAATGCTGAGGTGCCTAATGAAGCATGGCAGATACAAGGTTTTCAGAGCTTTTCCTTCAGAGGCACTGCTGGCAGCCAGCTACAACAAACCCCTTCCCACTGCCATAGTCACTAGGACACCACTTTTCATCTTTCCATCACTGAAGTCGACTTAGACTTCCAAGAATCATAGAATTATAGAATAGTTTGGGTTGGAAGGGACCTGAAAGGTCATGTAGTTCCACCCCTCATGTGTGGAGGGGTGTCACAACTTTGGTTAGAGCTTTACCACAACATTAACCAGATAAGGGTCTGGTTTGCTGCTGGAGCTGGTAAGGTTTCTGTGTTGCCTTGGATAGGTTGGTCCTTCTTTATTTTGGTGCCTAGAAGGATGTTTACAGAGCTTTATCACCACACAAGGTTCTTGTGAAGGGACAATGTGTTAATAACATGTTGTCCCTTCACAAGAAGGGACAACCTCCTTTCCAAGTATGTGAAAAGGAGGCAGGAGAAATCATGGTGGTGGTGGCGATGATCTGTAATGGAGCAAACCATAAGATGACATCCACCTTAATGTCTGTGGACAACAAAAGGGGAGGGGGGGGTTCTGTTTGGAGCTGAAGCCAGTGACCTCTCTGTGTTCCCAGAAATACAACAACGACTGGTGGATAGGAAGGCTGGTTAAGGAGGGCTGTGAGATTGGCTTCATCCCAAGCCCCCTGAGGCTGGAGAACATCCGCATCCAGCAGGAGCAGAAGCGAGGACGTTTCCATGGAGGGTAAGAGTGCTGTGACCTTTTAAACCAACTCAGAATCCTGTCTGCCACCAGCCAACGTTTCCAAAGGTCACTTGATGCTTTTTTATTGAGGAGTGTTTGGTTTGAGATGCCAACTGAAAGTCCATATTTGCAGAGGAGAGATGTGTTAGGTGCTGACCGTGAGGAAGGAGGAGGAAATGTGTGTTGACTTGAGGAAAGATCAGTAATACAGTGAGAGTGCAATGGCAGAGACACCTGAAGGGCTACAGTTTTCCATCCCCATGGGTTTAAGTCAGCTTGGTGCTCAAAAGCTGCCAGATTTTTTTCCCCACTGTTACATTCTTCAGGTTGAGGATTTTTTCTGTCTTTTCTTCCTCCGTTTTGGCCAAAACCAGACTTCTCAAACTTTAGAGGTGAGCTCTGTTGTTCAATTTCTTTTATTCTTCATCTTCCAGCCTGAGCATTCCGTGGCTCCATGCAGCTAGAGCTGGAGATGCTGAGTCCCTGGGAAAAGATAAAACTTGGGCACAGGGCTAGAAAATAAAGCTGTTTTTTCTCCATCTCAATGCAGACACTGAAGTCACTCTTCTGTTGGCTGAATACACAAAATACTTTCCCCTTTTTTTTTTCTTTCCACTACTAGCATGTTATTTCCTCTAATTGAAAACAAAATTTAATGTTCACACAGATAACAAAGAGAACAAAACCTTTAGTGCTTCAGAGTAAAGAGATAGGAGCCAATTGAGCCTGGACCTAATAGATAGCAGGGAGAGCAGCATGATTTAGCCTGTGCAGTGCTGTCTGGGAATTGGCACACTAATATACTTCATCAAGGTCAGGAATCATCTCAAGCAGAAACCATCTGGGGAAATGTTTTTAGAATGATGGAACAGCACTAACTCTGCTGTTTCCAAATTGCTTTTGTAATTTTTGAAACAGCTTCAGGGGAAGCCAGTGGATCAGAAAGCAGCTTGGCTGCTCTGGGGAGATGGACACTGACAGAGTGTTTAGGAGGGTGTTTCAGATCAGAGGGACTCTCTGCTTGTGTGCATGGCTGTGATTCCACCTAATCACCCCTTCTCACACTTATTTTATTTACTCTCACCTCTGGAGACTATTAGGAATGAAATCAAATATCAGAGAGACAGGGGAAATGTGGCAAAGTGTATCCATTGTGCTTTTCAGTAGTCTGCTCTAACTCCTGGATTTGCATTCTAAAATTGGAAGTGATGTTTGATGCAAGTTTCCCTTGGAGCACCTTTGTTGGACACAGCCACAGGGTGTCTGGACATTGTGATGTCTCTCAGAGCTCTGATGAGGTGTGGAGCTGAGGCTCTGTGTGATGGGCAAGGATTCCAGTTTGGGCTGACTCAGGCAGTGAGAAGTCATCTCTTCCAGAGGGTTTCTAGAGCCCAATATGTGCTCACAAAGTTCCCTGTCCCAGGCTGCTGCCCAAGCAGCTGTGCTGGGTGCATCACACAGGGCCAGGAGGGCAGGGCACAGGGGCACAGTCAGACTGGTTTGGGCTGGAAGCTGAAGGATCACCCAGTTCCACCCCCCTGCCATGGGCAGAGACACCTCCCACTAGAGCAGGGTGCTCAGAGCCCCATCCAGCCTGGCCTTGAACACCTCCAGGGATGGAGCATCCAGAACTGTGTGGCTGGAAGCAGAGAGGAACAGCACATGGGAAAAGGAGCTACTTAAACTGCCAGTTAAGATCCCAAACCTCCCAAGAGATGTGTCTGTTAGTTGTGTGTGCTGGTGGAGAGACCCAGCACCACATCTCCATGGCTTTTCCATCCCTCCAGGGGAGGAAATTGTTCCTCATGTCCAACCTCCCCCTCCCCTCACACAACTTGAGGCTGTTTCCTCTTGTCCTGTTGCTTGTTCCCTGGGAGAAGAACCTGACCCCCAGCTGACTCCAGGCTCCTGTCAGGAGCTGTGCAGAGCCAGAAGGTCTCCCCTGAGCCTCCTTCTCTTTACTCCTTTCTTTATGAAATTACAGATGCTTTAGAATCATAGAATCCTTTAGGTTGGAAGGGACCTTTAAGATCATCAAGTCCAACCCTTGAGCCATTAGGGCTCTAAAGTCCTCTGCTAAAATAGATCAGAATCTGTCAGGGCTGGAAGGGACCACAAGGATCCCCCAGTTCCAACCCCTCTGCCATGAGCAGGGACATCTCCCACTAGCTTTGGTTTCCCCATGCCCCTGCCTGGTACTCTCTACCTCTCACTTCAGGCTTTCTCACAGTGGGAATGTGGGTGAAGACTCTCCTTTCTGGGGGGTCTTCTCATGGGCTGATTTCTCATAGCTGCAGCCTGAACCCCCCCCCCTCATTTGCTCCTCTGTGTGCTCTTTCTGCTGCTGCAGGAAATCAAGTGGAAATTCTTCTTCAAGTCTTGGAGAAATGGTTTCTGGCACGTTTCGAGCCACACCCACTTCCACAGGTGAGGCAGAACTTGATTTAAGGCCTGTCTTGCTATTTCTAATGCTTTTCTTTTAAAAAACATGTATGAAAAGGCAAGTTCCCCCTTTGCTGACTTCTGAAGAGGCTTGGAGAGAAGTGCTTGCCTTCTTGGGGGAGACAGCTATTGCTGGGCATGCTGAGGGACTGGGGAGGAGTCTCAGGAGAGGTGGCAGCTGCCCCCAGAAGGGAGGACTGACTGTTTTAAAGGGGGCTGACCAAAAGGGAGACATCCAAAGCCTGAGAGAGATCCAAAGTGCCTGGACAGAGGGGGTTTTGTTGACAAGTCTTGTGGTTGTTTTCCACAGTGTCTGGTTTTTAACCAAGTTCTCCTTTGGTCTTTTAGCAAAACAGAAACAAAAAGTGGTAAGTAGAACTTTTGTTTCCATTTTGTTTTCTTGATTTCTAACACATTATTCACAGTGTTTTTACATAGATGTTTGATTAATGACCTGAAGGGTTGTTCCCTTCTTTCAGACAGAACATATTCCTCCATATGATGTAGTACCATCAATGAGACCTGTTGTCTTGGTGGGGCCATCTCTGAAAGGCTATGAGGTATGTAGCCCATGGATTTGAAAGCTAGTATTTTCTATATTAATTATTAATAACATTTGCTAATATAAAATATATATTTAAATTTAAAAAAACCTTATATTTCTCTATAATCTTCTGTAATCCATCCAATGTGTGTGGTCTAGTCCCCCTGTTTTGTGAGGATTTAAAGTAATCTTAGCTGAAATAATGATTAAAAATGTTCTGTGAGTACTCACACTTGGCACCACTTGGGTGGGGTACCAGCTGAATTTTTCTGGCACCTTGGCAGCAGTGTCTGTTGCTTGTGATGCCCCAGCTGCAGGGTGGGTAAAACAAGGATGTGGATGCTCTCTTGGCAGTTTTGCTGCTTTAAACAGTGTACACCCATTATTTCCAGTACAGTTATTCTTCATTAAATTGAGTAAGAACAAGAGAAAACCTCAAGAAAACCTTGGAGCAGTCTGTTTGACTTGCAAGACTTGTATACCTATTAAATTTTAGTCAAACTAGCACTTGATTTGCACTTAAGTAGCAAAAAATTTGAAGGATCTTCCCCTTTGTTCTCCTTTTTTCACTTCTAAATACTTTACATCTCCCCATGAACCTCAGTGGTGGCAGGAGAAGGTGCTGGACTACAGCAGCACATTCAGGCTTGTTCAGGTGCTGGTGAACAGTGTGGGGACTTGTGATTCTCATTCCAAGGTGTTTTCTTCACCTTCATTATTTTTAAGATTTAGGAGAGATGTAAAGAAACCTTTAACCCTCCTGAATTGTTTGCCTGTGTTCATGGAGGCATGGTAAAGGGGACAGATAAACAGGACACCCATTTTTCAGGACTGCTGCAGATTCAGATGAGCATTTAACACGTGCTGAGCCAGGATGGGCTTTTAACAGGGCACTTTGGTGAATTCACCAGCTGTTAAGTGCTTGGCTGAATTAAAAACTGAAGGAACATGAGCATAAAAGGAGAGATACACTTCATTTTAGCTTAATTAATATTGTTAGTGCTTTATTCTGATCAGCATAATGCAGTGTTCTTACAGCTGCCTTTTGATGAGGGTGATTGAAAGTGTAGGTTAGCAAAGGAGGAATTAGGTACCTCATGATCTACTCTCTGCCTTTTAATTTTATGGTGATAATTCTTGACAGGAGTAAATTTAATCTATTGACTTTGATGGTGCTGCACCACAGATTCAATTGCCCAGTGACCCTTTAGGTTGGAAGGGTAGAAGCTTTTTGTTACTATGTGCCTCTACAAATATGCCACCCCAGCTTTGAGAAGACCACATGAAACATGACAACTAGAACATACAGAGGTGTATCAACAGTAATGCAGCTGCAGTGTTCATTTCAGTTACAAATAGTTGTCTGCACAACAGAAACACCTTGATCTGACTTTGTCACCTACATGGGAACACTGTTTTGGCCCCTGTTTTTCCCTGAGTAAATTCTGCAAGAACTATTTTGAAAGGCAACCTAGGAGAAATCAACTGCCAGAGGCTTGGGGAGTTTGATTCAGTTCCTGTCTGGACTGGCAGATAATAGGTGTCAGTCTGAGTTGTCCTGAGAAGGACAAGGAGCTAATAAAGGAGATGATGGCTGCTGAGGTTGAGCTTCTCCCAGGGCAGGGATGGAAACCCTCATTTTTTCCTGCTTGCAGGCCTCTCTGAGAAGAGTTAGTCCAGTCATCCAACATGACAGATCTTGTATCAGAAGTTTTAAGCCAGTTCTCATAGTGTTACTGTATGAGAAAAACAAATGATCTCTCCAAACCAAACAGTCCCTGGTGGCTGTGACATGTTGTGAAGCCTGCCAGGAGTGGGACTGCTGTGGAAGGTGGTGAGGTGTCCTCTGGTGCCTTGGTGCAAGTCAGGGTCAGAGGAGAAAGGGTGACACCTCTCACATCCTCTGTCCTGTGTTTTGGAGAATGAGTCAGAAAACCTGCAAGTGTTTGTTACCAAGTGTGCTGCCAAGAGCATGGAACTCAAGGGATTGCTCCCTGTGACAGGTATTGGTGGTTGGCAGTGTCCTTACCTTCTACTTACCTCTTCTCTTCCTTTTGGCTTCTTTTTCTCCCTGTCAATCCTCCCTGTTCAATCTTCCTCACCTCTGCAAAGGTGACAGACATGATGCAGAAAGCTCTCTTTGACTTCCTGAAGCACAGGTTTGATGGGAGGTGAGAAACACTGTCCTTTTCCTGCCTTTTTTCCTCCATGTGTTACTAACATTTGAGTGAATTATGGGGTTTTTATTTTTTTCTAATGCAAGGAGACTGATGCATGTTCCCAAGTGATGTACTGGCTTTGTGTTGGCACTGAAATGCAGCCAGCTGTGGGGTGGAGCACAGCTAACGTGGTGCTAGGAGTGCATGGACCTTCATATCTGCTCTGTCTGTACCAGGATTGCTTGAATTTACTAGAATAATTCTGCCTCAATACCCTCCCAGCCTGAAGTTCCAAGGTTGCACTGACTGCACATCAAAACACAGCTTTATTCACAACCCTTTGGGTGTGTGAAGGCTTTTTTACCTCTGGATATAAGGAGTGTGTGCTGCTGGAGCAGCTCAGCCAGCCCCTGAAGTGTGCAGACCCCCCATACAAGCAGCTCTTGGTTTTATTTTGAGGTTGCTGTGTTTGGGGTGGGCTTGTTCCAGCACTCTTTGTGGAGTCCCAGGCTCCTGTGCAGCAGGATGTTCTCCTAAATAAAACTGATCACACCCTAGCCATGAGAGAAGTGTCAGAAACAGCAGATTTCAACAGGGTGCAGTGACAGTGCTACAGACCATCACCTAAGAAAAAAACAACCCTCAAATGTTCTGGGTAGTCAAAACATTTCAAAAGCCAGTTTGAAGAGGGAAATGCTGAGAAGCAAGAGACAGAAAAAAGAGTCAGAGCTTCAAAAATGGTGAGGAGGGTTCATCTTGTTCAGCTGGAACACAGAGGATGCCTCCTGAGGAGCTGTGAGGAGACAGGTTTGGGTTTCTTTGCTAGCAACACAGGCTCTGCCCGTGGCATCTCTTCCTTTCCACTGAGCTCTTCAGTGGTTGTAGGTGCCTGCTGCACCTTTGGGATGTTCTGCCCTTCCTTCATCTGAGCTTGTCCTGTATATTCTGACTGTGGGGAGGAGCTTATGCTGTGCCAGCCAGTCAGGCTGGAAAATCCCCAACACGGTGGTGGTGGGACAGGGAAGATGACAGTGTCTGTTGTGCAGAAGAGGTGGAGCAGGAGGGATGGTCAGGGGCCTGCTGGGGTGCAGTGAGGAGGTGGCAGTGCTGAACACACTCACAGGCAGCTGAGACAAAGCATTTCAGGAGCAGCTTGGGTGCAAACCACCCATCTCCTCCCCTGTGTGTCACTGCCCAGCTCAGGGCTTGCAGCACAGCCCATGGACGTGGTGACAGCTTGAAGCCTGGCAGGTCTGTTGCTGAGCTGCTCATCCTGCTGCCTCCTCTCCCTGCTCTGGTTCCACCCCATGGGCTCTCTGTGCCTGTTGGGAGTGGGCCCAGACCCCTGCAGATGTTTCCTCCAGCTGTTGGCACACTGCTGGCAGCTTTGCCTCTGCCACCAGTGACTGAACCATTGTTCTCCCTGAGAAACCACAGCCCCTGGAAGGCAGGAGTCCTCTCCAGTTGCCACCCTCTGATTGCCATGAGCATCTCCTCCATGAGGTTTGTTTTTATACCTTCTGGGAGAGGGCTGGTCCACGAAGATGAGCAGTGCCTGAAGGCAGAGGAGGAGATGTGGAGCCCATTTGGGCTGCCCTGGCTCTGCTGTCTCTTCCCTCACCGTGCCCTTGGCCTGCACAGAGGGGGTGAGGTTGAGAGATCCTCCCTGGAGTGAGGTACTTTTTGGAAATCCAATTGCCATGAGCAGTATTGGCAGCTAGCTCAGAAGTGTGAAATTTCAGCCTTGCAAAAGTTAAGTGCCACGAGGAAGCTGATACAAATTGACTTCAGCTCTGAGGAACTTTAGAAAAATGGAATCAAATTCTTTTTCAAGCACCTTCTTGGTCCTCCTGCCAGCTCTTAGAGCTTTGTGGTCTTTCTCCTCCCCCTTTTTGTATTTTTTTTCCCCCCCATCTCTTGTGCAATTTTGCAGCAGGTTCACATTACCAAGAAAAACAAGTGACTGCCCAAGGAGGAGCTTCTCAAAGGACTCCTTCCCTGCCTCTTACTACACTTGGCATCTCTCAGCTCCTTCTTTGGTCACTGCAGCATCCTCTTCTGGCCAGGCCAGCAGAGGAAAGAGGCTGCTGAGAGGAGCCTGCTGGAGCTCAGCTGGCCCAAGGCTTCCCAGGGGGGCTGCTGCTTGTTCAGACCATCTCCTGTGCAGTACCTGTGGCAGGGACTGAGCCCAGCTCTGCCCCCATGTCAACCAGGCACAGCAGAGGACATCTCCTTCCTCAGCATCTTCCAGCAGGATTGCTTCATAGAGGAATGAAGTGCTGCTCTGCTGAATTTTCTGGCAATTGTGTATCATGTAGGAAAACACTTGCACTTGTTCTTAACCCTCTCTCTGATAATTTCACCCAGGGCTGTGTAAATCTTCTGTGGGACAGCCACTAATCCTTCCCAGCTTGCTGCCTTTTCATTCCTCGTGGCTCTTTGGCCCATCACAACCCTCCTAAATGGATTTATGTCAAGGGGATTGTGTGGTTCAGTCAGTTGACTCTTCCTGTGGCCCCTCCTCACCTCTTGGCACCCGGGAGGAGAAGTCACTGCACTGACCCTGCTGCTGTCGGCCCCGAGACTTGCTCAACTTGTGGCTTTTCTGCTCCTGTGTAAATTCCTGTAGGAGCTGAGTGAGGTGAGGAGGAGGAGAGGTAACCAGAGCATCAAGGAGCAGCACAGCAGCTTTATGCCAGTAGTGCAGGGAGTAGAAAACCCTTGGCAGGCGTGCAGCATTTCCCACGAGCTGTTGTTTTAACGGTGACCTCGGTCGGCTCCAAACCTCTCGGCGTGGTGGTGTAGTGCAGCTGCACTTTGGAAGGGTGTGGAGCTGTGAACCATGCCCAGAGTGTGACAGCTGTTTCTGTTCTGCTCTTCCAGGATATCAATCACCCGAGTGACAGCTGACATTTCTCTTGCTAAGAGGTCTGTTCTCAATAACCCCAGCAAGAGGGCAATAATTGAGCGGTCGAACACGAGGTCCAGTTTAGGTAAGACATGGCCACAGAGGTGATCCCTGGAGGAGAGTGGCAGTGTTTCAGCCTCCAGGGTGTCACCAGTTGTGCAGTTCTGAATGTGTTTTGGTGGGTAATCCTGGATTTCACATCCTCAAACAGGCAGCAGGTTGTTCCTGACTAGGGGCAGTGTGTTAGCCCCACGTTAGGCGGTTCCCTGGGCAGGGGCTGTTGCAGAAGATGAGTTGGGGGCCTGCAGCCAGCATGGGGCTGTGGTGGGGTTTCCTCCCAAGGTGGGTTGGCCTCACAGCTCCCTCTTCTCAGCCCTGGGCTTCTAATTCCACATCATAAAGTGCCAAAGAGCTTTCACTTTGTCCAGCCAAGAAGGAAACATGTTCTTGCTGACCCTGGGACTGGTTTTGTGCTTAATGTTGGACAGCTAGAGCTTCATTTCCTTGGAGACATTCAAGGTCAGGCTTGATGGGGCTCTGAACACCCTGCTCTAGCTGCAGATGTCCCTGCTTTGTACAAGGGGGTTGTGAATTCTGCTGTCTGGCCATGAGACCCTGAGTCTTCCCACCCTCTCCTCAGTGTCAGCAGCTCTGGGTTACACTGCCCTGAGGAGACTTTCTTCCTTGCACAAGAGCTGAGACTTGTGTGCATTATCTGCCTGCCAATAACTGGGACACCATTGTGGGAGGTTGGAGGAGTTGGGTTTCAGTCTTCTCAGGGAGAAAAAGCTCTGAAACCCAATTCTCTGCCATCCTGGGTGACTGTTTGAACTCGAGGTGCAGGTCGTAGGGCACTTCACTTCTAGCTGCCATTCTGGCACAGGAGCAGGCACCCCAAAATGAAGTGCCAGAAAGGGGAGTGCTAAGTCTTCTGGTGCCTGAGAACATGTTGCTGTGTGGAGCAGCTCCTGGGCAAAGCAGATCCCTGTGAGCTGCTGACATGTGGTTCTTTGGTGGCACAGCTCAGAGCTGAGTTTATCTGTTTAAAATTCATCACGTGTGTGTGAATGGTGAAGAGAGGTTAGAATGAGGAGTATCAGGAAGGTGATTGAGATGGAAATCCATCTGCTTTTCCTTCAGACAAAAGAGCTTTGGGGGGGAACGTTGCCATTAGTGTCTTTTAAAATAATGCCCTGTCAATGATCTAACATAAACAGTTTCTGGTGGTTATAGAATTAGGAGATCACAGTTCTGCTTTTCACACAGACTCTTGTGGAATCAAAACTACAGTCTGTGAAGAAAAAAAAGGTCTAAGAACCATCCATCCATCACTTGCTGTGTAAAAGAAGAAATCTTAGGACTCCCAAGCTGTTTAGCAGATTTGGAAAATACACTGAAGTCTATTTTGTGTTACTAGAAAGATGCTTTTAATTGTAGCCAACGTTTAAATACAGCAGTGCTATAAAGGAACACAGGACATAATGGATTTTCAGGCAACAGAAGTGTCTCAGAGGTAACAATTATTTTAAAAATTGCCTAGAGTAATAGGTTATTTCATGGAAATTGTTATTCCCCTTCTGAGTTCAGATATTGACTGTCTAGAGTGTATAAAAATACCCAGGGGGTGATTGTTGGTGTAAGTCCTGCTGGGGTTGGGTGCCTTTCACCTGGTCTCTTCTCCTTTCCCAGCTGAAGTTCAGAGTGAAATTGAGAGAATCTTTGAGCTGGCAAGGTCCTTACAACTGGTTGTCCTAGATGCAGACACTATCAATCACCCTGCCCAACTTATCAAGACATCTCTAGCACCAATTATTGTCCATGTTAAAGTGTCTTCTCCAAAGGTAAGGTGTCTCACCCTGAAAGCATGGGCCTTCCAGAGGGACCTGGAGGGCAGGGTGGGCATGGCCTGTGTGGGATCTGCACCTGAACAAGTGGAGAGGGAGAAGAAAAGGAAAAAAAGTGACATTTTTAGATTAAGGGCTGGACAAGGCCATGCCTGATGCAGTCTTTGCATTTCTGCCCTAAACTTTAACCTAGCCTCAAGCTGAACCTTAGACAAGGCAACCACCAGTTCAAGCAGGCAACAAAAGTTCCTGAGGAGCAAATTCTGTAGCTCACTGTTCCCCTTGGCCCCCCCCTGCCCAACAGAGCTGGAGTTCTGGGTTGTCTCTGCAAGCCCTAACCTTGGCTGAGCTTCAGAGCAGACACCCAGCCCTTTGCCCACCTCCCAGGCAGTTCCTGGGGGTGCTCTGTGGATCACAAACAGAGCCTGTCAGCCCTTGTCTGTGCCTTCCACCTGGGGCACCACCCACAGCTGGGTCTGGGCCAGTGTGGCCAGTCTGGAGCAGGAGGGTGGCACTTCCTCAGGAGTGCAGCACAGCCAGAGGGGCACCTGGAGTCAGGACAGAGACTCTGGGTCTGATGGAATCAGCACAGCAGTGGTGGGATGCTGCCTAGCACCTGCTGGGGTGACCACTGTGGCACATCAAACCCACCAGTTTCTGGTGCAAGAGACCAGCAAGGGATGGGGGAGGTTCTGCTGGACCTGCTGCTGAGGGGGGAAAAGGAACTGGGCAGAGTTGTGAAGGTTCAGGCCAACCTTGGCTGCAGCAGCCATGAGGTGGTGGAATGTAAGGTCCTGAGAGAAAGGAGCAGTAAAAATGACAGAATTGCAGAACTAGAACTGACTTGTTGAGGGACCTGTTCAACAGGAATGGCAGTAGGGTCACAAAGCAGCTCAGGAGATCTGTGGGATCCTCATGGCCAGCTTCCTCCAAGCACAAGGGTGATCTGCTCCTACATGGGGCTGAGGTTCACCTGAGGGACCACTCCTGTGCCATCACAAAGCTACACTCTGACCTTTCAAACCTCAGAGTGATCTGGGAAGGGTCCTGGTAGCTGGGGGGAGGCTGGTGTCACAGCCATTCCCAAGGGGGGGTGAGAAGGATCTGGGGAGCTAGAGGCCAGTCTCAGTCCCTGAGAGGGTTGTGGAGGAAATCCTCTGGGAAGCTGAGGATAAATTCTTGTAATGAACACACTGGAAGGAAAAAAACCCAAAGTAATAGGAGCTGTGTGTGTAAAATACTTTCTGTACCCAAAATACACCTCAGAAGAGATGAAGT